GCCCTGGCTGTCCTGGAACTCTTTGTAGACCAGGCTGTCCTTGAACTCAGAGAGATCTGCCTGTCTCTGCCTCCTGAGTGCTGGGATTAAAGGCGTGCACCAGCACTGCCTAGCTAGTTTCAGTATGTTTCTCAATACTCTGTGCATTTTATGTGGTGGCAGATACCTGTAAATTCCATCTACTGGGGTAAACTGAAGACAGGAGTTTAAGGCTACATCAAATACTAGAGTTGGGGGCAGAATTAGATTCTGAAGATAAGAGAGCTCAGAGTAAGACCACCTGCCTAGTTTGCATGAAATCCTGCACTTAGTACCTAGCACCTTAAAACAAACAAACAAACAAACAAACAAATTATTCTTCTTTTAAAGACCAGGTGTAATGTAATTGAGAATCAGTTTTCAACCTGCTATAGTGTCTGACACCTTAGTACTTATGGAGTTGACTGAAAAAAAATCACAAATTTGGGGCTAGCCTGATCTACATAGCAAGGTCCAGGCAAGAAGCAGCTATTTATAAAAAATGTAACTAAAAAAAAAAAAAAAAAAAAAAAAATCTCACTCTGTAGGCCTGGCTTGGAACCCCCTATGTAGATCAGACAGACCATAAACTCATAAATCCACTTGCCTCTGCCTCCTAAATTCTGAAATAAAAGGTGTGTATCACTGTGCCCAGTTGTAACTAATTCTTAAAATATGAACTGAAATTCACCTACAAATTAATAGTTTGAAAGTGAAAATGGGCAGTCATCTTGAAATTATGACTAGCTTCTCTGGAAGACAACACATTTGAGATTAGGGGAAATCTTGAACTGAATATAAGCAATTCTGAAGCAGTTCCTCATCAAAGTTGACTAGAATCTGAAGCTCTGTATTGTGTATATATATAAAAAATTCTATAGTCATTTCAAACTTACATTACTCATTGAGAATAAGCCTGGTGTGATATATTAGTTTGCTATTGGTGCTGTTAACAATATGCTACAGAAATTTAAGTAAAGGGTTGAGGAGGTGGCTTGCTGCTTACATATAAGGACCAGAAGAGTTCAGATCTCCAGAGATTCACTTAAATGTAGGTTAGATATGGTGGCCTGCATCTAATTCCAACCTCAGGAGGCTGAGGTAGTATCTCCAGAGCAAGCTGGCTAACAAGACTATCTTATCTAATCAGCCAGTTCTGGGTTTGACTGAGACAGCCTGCATCAATGATTAAGACGGAAGAGTGATCAAGAATGATTCCTGCCATTGACCTTGGGCCTCCACAAGTACAAAAATTCACATATACACACCACACACACATGAAAATTGTCAGCTGTGGGGTGGGGGAGCAGCAGTATATCGACTCATCTGGAAGCTAGAAGTGTGAAATCAGTGTTGGTAGTCACTTCCTTTTCAGACTATGAGGAATGACGTGTTCCATGCCACTCACTGACTTGGTCTGGTAGGTGCCCATTACTATACCATACGGTATTTTTCTACACTTCCCAAATATTCCTAACCCTAACCCTTTTCCCTTTGTGTAAGAACCCTGGCTGTCCTGGAACTCACTTTGTAGACCAGTTGTAGATCCAGCTATCTCTACCTCCCATTAAAGGCATGTGCCAACACCACCTGGCCCAAATAGTCCATTTACAAAAACATTAATTATATCATGTGAAAGTTCATCACAATCACAAAATAAACCTAATTACGTAAAGGCCCCCTTTATGAAAGTCACATGACTTACTAGGGATTAGGAGTTCAAAAGTTGGATTCATAATAGATCTATAAAAAAGCAAACAGTTGCTCTTTTGATACATTTCTTTCTTTGTTCCTTACCTGGAGACTTTTAGTGTCTATAATCAAACCCACATAGACTTTAATACAAATAGGGAAAAAATTAATACTTATGAGTATGATTGTTTTTTTCTGCAGATTTTTTTATTTGAATTAGAAGTAAGATTGTTTTACATGACAATCTCAGTTCCCTCTCCCTCCCCTCCTCCCCTGCCACCCTCCCCCCAACTAAAACCCTATCACATATCCTTTCTGCTCCTCCTGGATGGTGAGGCCTTCCATAGGGTGTCATCAGAGTCTATCATATCCTTTGGGACAGGGCCTAGGCCCACCCCCAACCAGTATGATTATTAATGTACTATACCAACTCACCACATAAAACTGGCATACTCTTTTCCAAAGTTGACCTAGAACCTGTATCTTTAAAACTTCAAATACATATAGATATATGTATGCATATATCTATATATGACCTATAGCATCAGTAGCAACAATGGCTTTTCTTGGTTCTATATTCACCTGAATAAAATGTAAAAACATCCAGCATATTCCATTAAAAAATAAAAAACAACGAATTTTGTTACTGTTGTGATACCTGGAACTTTTTGAAAGTGGCTGCCCACCACCTTTACAGCCATAGATCATTTCAGTTCATAAAAGTAAGTTATTATCAGATAAAATAAGCATAGACAAGCCAAGTATAGTGGTGCCCGCCTTTAATCCCAGCACTTGGGAGGCAGAAGGAGGTGGATCTCTGTGTTGGAGACCACCCTGGCCGAGTTGTAGGACAGACAGAGCTACATACTGATACCCTATCTGTGCCTATGCAAATTGACAGAAATACCTTTATTTTCAGCATGTCATGGACTTCCTAATGAAGTAAAAGTATTCCTTTCATGATATGTGACTTCGTGTTTACTAGATTCTAATAGAAGATTTTCCATCTTATCTTTTACAGCTCTCAATGTAATCAAAACACTGAAATGTTTAAGTAGATGACTATACAATTCACAAAATGATGATGTAAACTAACCTCATATGACACAATAAAGGATTAGATATTTTAGGGTTTTTTTTGTTTGTTTGAGACAGGGTTTCTCTGTGTAGCCAGGCTGGCCTCGAACTCACAGAGATCCGCCTGACTCTACCTCCTGATTGCTGGGATTAAAGACATGGGCCAACATCACTTGGCTAAAAGAAAAAACTTTTAGTAAAAAACAAAAATTCTATGAAGAATAAATTCCCGAAGGGCAGTGGTGGCATATTCCTTTAATCTCAGCACTCAGGAAGCAGAGGTAGGCAGATCTCTGTGAGTTTGGGGCCAATGTCTACAAAGCAAATCCCAGGGCATACTCTTAAAAAGCTATACAAAGAAACACTATCTCCCCTCAGAAAGATAAATTAATTCCCACCAGTAGGAGGAAAAAAGAGCCAAATAAGAAAGTCAAGTGTGATGCTAAAATGCAACTTTTCATGCAAGAGATAGAGGTCTCAGTGGTCAAGACCATATATTATGGACCCAAGATTAGATCCCAGCCCAGACACTGAGTTGCTCAGAACTGCCTTTAACAACAGCTCCAGGGAACCCAATATCCTCTTCTGGCCTCTACAGGTACTGTATTCTGTATGCATATCTTTCATGACACAACTAAAAAAATGCCTTGCCATTGGCCAATGAGCTTTTTTATTAGCAATGAGAGGAACACATCTTCAGAGTGTACAGAAGGATTATTCCATAGCAAAGGAGTTTTATATTTCTACTTGACTAAAATCTCTTGGGCCCTTTTTCTGGATAAACACTTTTAAGTATTAAAGTGACTACAAATGAGAAAAAAGCCACTAAAGTACTTACTAACCTCAAGGCTTTGAACCAGTTGGGATAATGTGGCAAGAGGAAAATTTCATTATGTAATGCTATCCCTAAACCCATTATTACTGTGACTATGGCTTCAGTGAGTCTTTCAGAAAAGAGGATGGCTACCCATGAAAATAGAACAGGACTCATACTGCTAGCTAAATTAATGTAGTCTGGTTTGGCTGGACTACTTTCTGGCAGAGCAAAACCCCATCTGACCCCTCCCAAGAAAGCTAGGAAACCAGCTCCATAAGCCATCTGAGTAAAAGCTAGTATGGGGATGTAAGACTTTGTTATGACCATAGTGAGTGGTGGAGCAATAAAGGGGATTAACCCCACCAAGCTTATATATAATGCTGGCTTTGGGCTATCAGGTAGGTAAGTGATGGTGCTTGGTGGCTTGGAGGGAAGGAATGCTTCCTTCTGATGTCTTTTAAAGTTGCACGGTGATGCATGGTAGCATTGTATATTCTTCATACACACTTGAAATGATGTGGGAAGCCAACTCCTTGGAGACAAAGGGGAAAGGTTCTGCTGAACAGATGTCTTGGAAGAAAATACATCTATTCTGTTGGCTCTGGGTCTCACTATAGAAGGGTACTTCAGCATCTATAAAGGAAATAGAACCAGGAAACGAAGTTTAAAAATAACATGTGGTACACAAATATACACACAGGCAAAACCTCTTACACATATAATCTTGGGGTTGGAGAGATGATGGCTCAGTGATTGTTGCTCCAGAGGATCCAGGCTTGATCATTCCCCCACCTCCATGGTGGCTCACAACCAGCTGTAATTCTAGTTCCAAGGAGGTTGGACACCCTTTTCTAGCCTCTACATGCACTGCAGGCAGTGGTACACAGACATATATGTGGGCAAAACATCCAAACGCCAAGTAAGAAAAATAAATAAATAAAATAAAATTATTTCAAAATTAAAAAGGAACAGCTATTTAACAATCTTTGTTTGTTTTTGTTTTTCGAGACAGGGTTTCTCTGTGGCTTTGGAGGCTGTCCTGGAACTAGCTCTTGTAGGCCAGGCTGATCTCCAACTCACAGAGATCCGCCTGCCTCTGCCTCCAGAGTGATGGGATTAAAGGCGTGCGCCACCAACGCCCGGCTATTTAAGAATCTTGATAAGCCCTCAAAAACATGCTAAGAATGATCTCACGTTGACCTTTACTCCTTTTGTCTCCAGTTAGAATGTTTTACTTTCAGCTACCTACATGGCCATTCCTTCATTTCTGACCCTTCTTATGTTATAAAAATCCTGTCTTATTATTTTCTGGTAGGATTTATTCTTAGTCGTGTGTGTGCTAGCCCTCAGGGGAAGCATCAGGTCTTTTAGACCTGGAGTAACACTAGTTGTGAGCCACCCAACATGGATGCTGGGATCAAACTAAGGCCCCAGCAGTATGTGCAAGGCTGAGTTACCTCTTCTGGTCCTGTCTGTTCTGGATATTCCCTGTCCTCCTTCCCTAATATATGATTCTCCAAAGCTGTTACTACTTGACATAGTAAATATTTTACTTATTCATAATTTATTCATTGTTCTCTTTCCTTACTAGAATACATGAGGAACACAAACACACACACACACACACACACACACACACACACACACACACACACACACACCACCCTTTGAAGAGGCTGCAGAAAATTTCTGGATGAAGTGAAGCATATTGGTCTCTATTCAGAGTCTTGTTCCAGAAGATGAAGTTCTGATTAATATATTTTTCCAACTAATTGGACTAGCTGAATTTGAAGCAAAGGTGCTATACAGAAAACAACATATCACTTAGTTGTCCTCATTTTATACATTAATTTTACAAAAGTAATAGATCACGAGAATTTCTTTGACTGAACACGATTTCTTTGGAAAAAAAAAATTTCCCAAAGAGTAACACATTAAGTAAATAAGATTTTTTTCCTGATTATTTTTTAGTTTTGGCTGTCCAAAGAGAGCACTGTGCAGAAACTGAACATTTGGATTCAGTAAACATCTCTAACACTTCCTTAGATGCTAGTCGTCTCATCTTTAAAATTAATGGTCATACATAACATTTGTTCCCTTTAAGTATCTATCCTCTTTAGTTATTGTCTACTTCGGAGCGTTGCAATTTTTACACTTACAATAATGATAGCAGCCACAAATATAGCTTAGTTGTGAACCAGGCAAGATTAACTACGTTTCCCATATATTAACTGTACACCTTTTGGAACTTCGTAACCACTATAGCACGTGGTTTTGAATTTGGGATTATTTAAAGAAAGTGTTAGGCTTAAGCCCAGAGACGGCAAGTGCTGAGGAGAATAAGGATAGAACGCCCACGCTCAATTCGTCCAATCTACATGAAAACGATCAAATGTTTTCCTGTCCCTAATACAAACAACACGCACACTGACAGCCTCAAGCCGACATTTTATATAGGAGCAGAATTTAGACCAACGGATCCTTGAGACATCTAGGCTAACAAGTCATCTATTTACCTGTCCCTAGTGACACCCCACCACCTCCTGCCCGAAGTGTACCCTTTACAGCCCTTAAACATACTTGCTACCATCGCGCGGAGGCAAACAAACTCAACCAGGAACACAGAAACAGCACTTCCGGCGACTGGAATCACACAGCCCCCACTTCCTGAGGCTTGAAAATTGAGTCCGGGTGGGAACTTACTATACCAAGTTCCGACTCTCCTCCCTCCGTTATTTTATATTATTTTTATTTATGTGTGTGATCGTGCACTTGAGGTGCGGATCCCCTACAACATAGGTACTGGGAGCTGACCCAAGAGCAACCTCTGCAGCCCCAGGGGCTACTCTAAATTTAATTCTAATTGAAGTCGACTTCAAGGTACCTTACTAGCCTCTATTCCAGGATTTGTAACCAACAGAATGTATCTAGCAGTTCCGGAAGGTAGAGTACAATTTCTGAAACACTCCCATGAACTGCAGTGAAAGCACTTAGACTTGGAGTTAGACTGGTGTTATTTGGACGAATTTGTATCTACGGAACTTTAAAAAAAAAAAAAAAGACAAGATATCACTTCAGTGTGTTACTCTGATGGGCTGGAACGCTTAACTTTGCAAAAAACAACGGGGTTGAGTCGACTGGACCCGTCTTCCTTTTTTTGCATTTGGCTCCTGCTACTGGGCAGGCGTGGAGGGGACGATTCTGTTTTTACTTCCATTCTCTTTACTAGTACCTAGAAATTACATTGAGAAACACAGAGGCCTGGGATGAAATAAGCTTGCGGCGTTAAGGTCCTCGAGCTTGGAGGTCATCCAGGAAGTAATTTTTTAAAAAAAAAACTTATCCACTGTGTGATTTAGTGTAAGTGCCTCCCATCTGCTATTAGCCGGCCAAAGGAACAGGCAGCAAGCAATTTGAGCATTCCTGGGTCTTTGAGCTTTTAAAAAGCTGAAAACAAACAGGGGCTCACTTACATAGGGGCCCACTGCGGCCAGTTCCTCACTCCCCTAGGCAGTACAACGAGCAGATGCATTCGCTTCTAGTAATGAGAGACTCGGGCAGCTTCCGAGGGTTTCACCTTTATTCCGGTCTCTGCTCTGGTTGTGCCGCCTCTTCCTTTAGGTGCAATACCCAATGGAATGCTAATAGAGCCAGAAGTCTATTAGCAAAGACCAGGCGGGACCAGAATTCCAACCTGCGCCTGGGCGGCTCCAGTAAGCCTGCAATGCCCAAGAACTACAACTCCCGGCAGGTAGCGCGCCCGACACCGCTGCGCATGCTTCTAGTGCTGAGGTCTATGGCACGCCGAAGGCTGGAGTCTTAACGACGCGTGCACGTGGAGGAGGAGCGAAAGGTGTGCAGGGGTCGGAAAACACGCTCTTCCGTAACTGGTTTGCTAATTCTGGTAGTTGGCGAAACATCTGGCTTACAAGTGAGGTGTGAGGAGGTGAAGAAAGAATGGGCGGGGAAGAACTGGTACAAATATACCCACCCACATTCACACTCTCGAGCTCCCAGGCCGGAGTCCCGGCAGGAGCTTTAAGGGGAAGCTGAATTCGGCCGGCTCC